ATCGTAACAGTGTGATTAGAATATAACCGAAATTACAATTCATCAATCCGAAATTTCGACACTCCTGTCTAGTGCCTTGAAGGCGGGTGATATGATTGTTGCAACAAGAGGCCCTTTTATATGCTCACTAGTTAGCTGGCGTTTTTTCTGACGAGGTGCAAATAGGCTCCTATGTGTTCTAATTCAAATATTGTAATATGTGTAACAATAGGACCCCACGCCATTTCGTGCTTAAATACATACATTGTAAAGCTTTTTTTTCGATTACAAAGTTGAGTACGCTATAGGTCATGACAGTTGTTGATATGAGCTAGTACTAAACCATTGTGGTACCAAAGGCTGTCATATCCTTGACGTTCGTACTCGCTCGCTTGAAGTAGATCTCTGTGTGCAAGGAAATCGTATCGAGTTTCCGTTTCCGCTGCCAAGTCGTCTCTACCGAGCTACTCTTTCCTCGTTGTTGTTGCCTTTCCCGCGAAAGTTCAGTTGTAGCCGAAGAACCTATCGTCACATGAAATGAATGAGCTCTAAAAATTTTCCAAGGGAAACGATTTGAGGTAGCCCAGGGCCGGAATGACATAGGAACAAGTATGAATTTTTCTTACCATGTTTCTGCAGGTTTTACTCTTGAGCGCGGCTTTGCGGGATTTCCGCAAATTGGAAAAAGAATGCGGCATAAAATTTACCTTGCCGCGTCAAATGGGGCGCCAAAATAATAATAATAATAATAATAATAATAATAATAATAGACCCAAGGATAAGAAAATTTTTGTGAATTAAGTACTCGGATAAAAGACCCACGCTAGCCAGGTAAATACAGCCAGTGATGTCAGCAATCGTTTTCATTCGTTCCCAGGGCCCGGACATGTTTTGAAGCCAAAATGCGGTTTTCAACACTAAGAAAGACAACTTTCCCCTTTTTTCTGGCGAAAACAAAGTAACCAACGATAATCAGCGTGTTTCAAACCACTAAGTTATGAAAAAATCTCAGATATGAAAATTTTGTTTCAGTGGCACTTGAAGGCGACAGAGAAATGAGGCCCGTCGTGAGGAGTTACCGCTGAACTTAAATCCCCGCCTCCCCAAAGTCTTCGTTGTTGTTGCCATTGTTTTCTTTATTCAGTAGTTTGCAAGGGCTACTTTCAGCTATCTCGAACACGCTCATATCTCCATTTGTCACCGGGAATCTTTTATCCAATTGGGAAAGAGAGAAATAAATTTGTATTTTGGCAAATTAATTTGTGTTCAGTTGCACTGATTAGTGTTTATATAAATTATTTTGCGTTTGAACTTATAGGGTCACTGTAATTTTCTGCTCTACTGGCAAGGTACAGAAGTGCCTATACAACTGTAAATGAACTGTGTTAACTCGCAAATCACTGAATAGTTTGTAACCACAATCTTGATCAGGTTCATTAAAAACTTTGTGGTTACAAAAGAGTTATACTCAAAGCAGCATTCTCGTGTTCTTTGTGGTCTTTTCTCAGGTTCACGTTCCCACAACTGTCCCGTGTACGCCAAAGTTTGGTTAAAAAAAAAGGGAACCCTGTAATGTCAATGTTCCATTTGTTGAATTGCCAACCAATCTATGTAAGATCAATGTAAAGTCTCCTCATTCCACATTCACAGCAGAACTTGGCATTTTCCACGGGGTATTTTGTACCGCACTCGTGGCAAAACTTTGACAACTTTTTCCCCGCGCTCCCCTCTCTATGTTCTCTTGTGGCAGAGTGGTATCCAGTCTTTTGCGGTCTCTCTCGAGACGAAACAGGGGTGTGGTCCATTGGCGGTGAAGGACTGTTGCTGTCGAATCCAAAATCATCAAAGAGTGTCGAGCTTGGATCTCGTACCGCAATGTGCCTGCAAAAAAAAAAAAATAGTAATTTGGCACGGATATACGCTTGGGGTACCTTTAAAATGGTGTGTTTATTCTTCTGAGGGTCGTAAGAACGTGTGAAAAGAGTAGACGTATGGTTCAGTACATTGACGTGGGACTTGTTGGACCAAGATACTCCACTCCACTCCACTCCACTCCACTCCACTCCACTCCACCCCAAACCCCCTTCCAAAAATTAAAAAAAAGGTCCGAGAGTCTGCAGTCTGTTTAACAGGTCACACGTTACAAACCCAAGACACACCCTGACCCTTTCGTGTTTCGTCTCGATCTCTTCTCTTTACCAGGTATTGAGAACATAGTTCTTGTTCCTCATCGATAGGTAGAATGGCCCTTGTTTTGAGGTTTTCTTTCCTTTCCGCTTAACACCCTCTGCTTTTACACCAACAGCGGTTAAGTTTTCAGTGATTTGGTGCTCGTCTTGATTTCAGTTGGGTTGGGTAGGGTCGGGTCGCGTTCCCTTCCACCCAAACCTCTTCTTTGTTCGGCTCGACCCTAGCTCGATGACCCAGCCCCACCCCCCACGCATTTCTCGCTACGCCGCTTCTGTCAATAACTTTCTGCTAAAAAAAAAAAGCGTAAAAATAGGACTGTAAAATGAAGATGGTACTTCTCTTCACGATCGACACGAACACAACTTATCACGTAATCCTGCTAAAAAAAAACACAGAATCATTTCCACACCTGTTTCTTCGGCCTGATGATGACGATGATGACGAGATTCTATCAGAAACGTCCGAGTAGTCTGAAGTAGGTCTTGATTACCTTGATCCTGATCCACCCCTCCCCCCTGGGTTATCCGTATTCCCATTTGATTGGCTGGATCGGCGGCCATATCTGGCTTCCCTGGTTTGAGTAGCAGGTGAAACTTCTTCTTCAGAATCAAACAAATGTTGATTCCTTTCACTGCTTCTTACTCTGCCAGAAAATGTTCCTAGGCAAAGATTTTGCACATAAAGATATCAATGGATCAGGCAGAAGATACACAAGGCAAAGAGTCATGGCAACACATTTTTAAGAAAGGTAACAGTACTGTTACAATGCACATTGTGTGATTTGGAGAGCTTTTGTGAATATCTTGTCTCTGTGACAGAGTTTTGTCTGCAAACCATAATAACACCCAAGATCTGATTGTTAATTTCCCCCCCCCCTCTGGCTGCTAAACTCTTACTTGCAAATTAGCTACAACAGGTTTGTGTTAGATCAAGATAGCAACTTCTACCTGATAAGTTTGAGTATTCTCATCACCTGTTGGCTGGATATGTATGGAAATTACAGGGAGAAGTTACAGGTTAATCACTTCTGGGAATTAAAGATTTAAACAAGTTGCACAAATTCAAAAATTATGCTATGAATTCAGTGATAAAATCAGAGATTATGGGTAAAAAAAACTTCTTTTGAAAACAATTAATACCAGGGCTCGACACTAACAGTAGTCCACTAGCCACAGACTAGTAGAAATTCAGTTTTGGCTAGTGGTTTTCAATTTCCACTAGCCAGTTTGGCTAGTAAACAGACTGAAATTGTCATAAAATCTAAAAACATCTGAGATGTCACTAGCCCCTTGGCTAGTGAGTTGAAAAGTTAGTGTCGAGCCCTGAATACATGCAATTTGTCATACACATGTTTCCCACAAATTTTTTTCATTAGTTAAACAATACCCACCATTCAATTGTTTACTCCTCTGCTGAGATGGTGAGCCACGTCCTTTACGTGCTGACATTGGGCTTGCATTAGGCACCTGTTTTCTTCTAGAACTGGGAGAGGCAAGTGGTTGTCGGCTGCCATAACCTATAGATTAAGGAAAATTTCATCAGCTTTTAAATTACATACATGCTGCACTCTGCACTGTCAAGGAGGAGAAAATTGTGCAAAAAATTCCTAGCTCAAAGATTACATCCATTGATGAATTCAATTCACACTTCTTTTCTTACCAGAGCTTTGACCAGGAGAAGAAAAATCCAGATCGGATTTTGTTTTTGCAGAAGCAACTTGTCTGGTTTTTCCTGCTGATGATGTAGGTGTGGCAGAGCCAGTTGATGTCTTCTTCCCAGGAAGAGGCGGTTTATACTGTTTAAGAAATAGGAAATATCACTTTAAATTTTGAACACACTAAATAAAAGGTAATTCTTTGAAAAGAGTGCTTTGTTGTAAGAAACAAACTTTCTCACAGTCAGAAAGCCACTTGTTTGTCACAGAGAGAGTGATGTTTTCCTGAAAGTTGTGTCACACAAATAGCATCTTTGTCATTCTTTCCCACTTCTCACGTCTTGCATCAAAACCAGTAGCTAGACAACTCAATCTCCCAAATTATTCTAAGCAGTATATGGAACTCTGCAGCCTTTCCCTACATCTATGCAGTTTGGAAAGCCCCTAAAGCATAGAACAAATTGGAACTCTTTATCCCTGGGGTATCAAAAAACACTTTTCATTTAACTATTTTTTACTTGTTCTTAAGATTACCATGGTTCCACCAGAGGCATAGCTTCATTTTCCAGCATATAAACACAAACAACCCTCAATTCCTCTGTTCACTACGATGAAGGGCTATTAATCCTCGAAGCATTTGGTAATATCAACTAAGTTGATAAAAAGCTGACGTTTCAAGCCTTAGCCCTTCATCAAAGTGAAGGCCTAACTTTGCTCTGGTGAAGAGCTAATGCTTGAAACGTCAGCTTTTTAGCTCTTTGCAGTGGCCAATTTTCAATTTCAACAAAGTTAACATTACCAAATTACCTTCAGTTGTTACCCCCCAAGCCCAGCACCACAGTTTCTTTAGAACTCTACCCCCCTTAACCCTAAAATTGTCAGCTTTACAAACACTTTACCTCCTGTGACCAATTCACAATTATCAACTCACTTAATTAAACCAAGTTATCTTGGTACAACTCCCACAGGCACATGCAGGACCACAGTTTCTTTCATTAGAAACTTTCTTCCCCCTTGTCACTCAATAGAAGAGCCCAGTAAGCTTTTGGTGTTAACTATGACACAAATTCTACTTGAAATAAACTGAACTATGTACAGGCAAGCACTGGAGCAATCTACTAACCTGTGTTCGCTTTGCCAGACTTCCTGATTTTGCCGAAGATGTACTCGCCAAACGACTTTTCTGCTCTTTACAAAATGGCATATGCCTCTCAGCAGCGTGTTCATTAAATCGTCGGCTGCAGTGCGGACACTGTACATAATCTGGGTTTGCAGCTGGTGGAGGAGGAGGTGGGAGTGGACCCCCTGTCTTCTGGGCACTTGCCACTCCCCTAGCAGCTCTAAGGTTGTTGATAAATTCTTCATGCTTTTCTCTCCAGTTTGACTGGGGAAAAAGAAAATATTTGTTCTCTCAGATGATTCTCAGATATTTTACACCTCCCCTCCCCCAAAGAAAACATCCATTATTCCATCTGGTATTAAAAAAAAAAACCTATTCAGCATCACCAAAAATTGCTATCACCTTTTTTACTCCAGCTGTTAATTCTGACTGTGACTTCGTTGGTTTTTTCACAAAATCTTTGGGAAGATCAGAATTTCTCTGTTTAGACGAATCAAATGGTTTTCTCTTCTTCTGCCCTTGACAAACTTTTGCATGGCGAGCCTGACAAAAAAAATAAAAACAATCACCAAGGTTACCTTAACCATGATGACTTATAATAATGTTTGACTTTCCTTTTCTTTCATTATGGTACCGAAAACTGATCATGAAATGAGTCGAAGTCTTCAGATGGATAATTTTCACGCTGAATCGATTCAAAATATGGCAGCTGTTAAATACAGCGTAATAGTACAACGAAATGATAAAATAAATACATAGTTATGAATTCAGCCGCTGTGACAGGTTCGTAACACCTACGATTGCAGTGGCATTAAAAGTTCTTCCACACGACGAACATTCAGCGAGTCTTGCCGGGGTTCCTGTATCACGAAAAGCTGAAAAATAAAACAAGTTGTAGAAGTGTTAGGAAATTATTATATCATTTCATCAAAGTCTACAGCAATCACTTACCATCGATATAATCATCAAAGTCTGCCATCAAACTTGTAACTATGAGCTTCGTCAACAACAAATCGCCATCTTGAACATTGTTGCTGCCATCCGCTGACTAGAGTTTCAAGTATCGCGGAAGTGAGTGTCTCGATTTTATTAAAGATTCTCGTGCTCTGATTGGTTAAGGATTGCTTCATATCTCGTTATTTATAGCTACAGTATCACCTCACGCGACCCCAGGGACGCCGAATTTGAAAAGGACTGCTTCGAGGTTTTCTAATTTTACCGAAGAAGCGATAAACATCCTAGAAAAGAAATTAAGAAAAGAGACAGCAAAGTACAAATAAATCAATGATCCAAAGAGCGCAATGGATGCACGAAATAAGCGTATGAAATATTTGCTGATTAAATTTAAAAAAAAAAATGGGAAAAAAAACTTGTTAAATTCAGGAGGGAACTGGCCACATATCTCGGTACGAGTAATCAAAACAATTGTAACAAAATATGCGCAAACTAGTACATCAGAATGTCGGATAACCTTTAAAGATTTTTCTCTGAAGGACCATTAATTTTTATAGGACAATTGACTGTTCTATACATGACATATTCTATACATTTATTTTATTGAGCCCGCAGTCCTTCCCCGTCAGCAAAGTTTTCAAAATGGCGACCAAGCGAAAGTTTCCCGGGGAGAATAGTGGCGCTTTAGTCGCTGTTAAAAAGCCGAAACAGAATCAGTTAGCTTTAAAAGATCAAGGGGGAGCAATTCAAACGGTATCTACTAAGATCTTTCGAGTTTGCGTTTTTTGTGTATGTCATAATTGCTTGCACGTGTTTAAACTTTGCCATGCTCCAAAGACTTATTATTTGAACGGCCTGTTTTATCTTTGGTACATAGCTTCCCCAAAGAACCTCAAGCCTCGAGGCCCCTATAATGTTGCTAAGTGGACATGAGGTTTGTGTAGCTTTGTTTCAGTTCTTTATTTTTCTTCTATGTCTACCAAATAAAACTTTCTCATGCAAGCCTACCGCCTTGCTTTGCGTGCGAATACTTGCTTGTAAGCTGCGAGTCTTCAGTCAATCAATAGATCTAGAGTTTGATTACCGGTACTCACCATTCCTGTTTATTTACTACTTTCTAGGCTTAAAAGCCATGGTAATCGTACAGTTTCAAGTTATTTGGAAAGATTTCCGAATAACCCCATACCAATCAAAAACAAAGCCAAAGCCCCATAGGTAATCTGTTGTTTTGCCACTGTTTTCTTTTATCCAAGAATTGTACGCATAATGAAGTATGGGGTTATACGGAAATCTTGCCAGTTATTTTTACAGGGTTTTCTCAAAAATAGGATTAGTTATGGTGATGTATCTATTAGTCAGATTACTGATTATATTTCATTTTACCTAAAGGGAGAGATTTTTACTTCAAGATTTCATCCCTCTGGGGAGACTTTGGCTTCAGCAGGATTTGATAGACTGATTTGTAAGTTTATTTATCATCACTGGTGATAAAAATTCATATTATATTTTTGTTAGTATTATTTACATCATATTTGTGCATGATCCTTGCAGTAAAGAGCACTATTTAAAGGCCCATTTCCATCCGAGATCCTTTGCAGTGGTTTTTTTTTTGTTTTGGAATCGCGCTATTGTTAAATAGCGAACTCTGATGATCATTCACAAACACTATTAAAAAGGAAAACAAAGATTTGGTGAATAACACAGTAAACAAATCTGCAGCTAAATGTTTGAGACTGAAAAATCATAAATCGAGTCTGTGTATAAAACTTGTACAAAGCTTACCTGATGTTGAAGGAAATTGTTCGGCTTCAANACTAATTAAAATATATACAAATAACCAATATTGGCCAAAACTGATTTACTTTACACATTTCAATTATAGAATAATGACTTCTACAAATGAGATTGCTTACATACATATCTCAGGATCTCAAGTAGAAATCAGTCAAATAATTATTCTCACCTCGAAAAAACCTCCCCGGAGTCTCTAGTTCCATCATAGGAACAATGCAATAACATTTCTGCAAAAGCACTTTGTGTAGTGTTACCGAAACGCATCGTTGTTTTCCTTGCCCTCCATAAATCATACACAGACTCTCGAAGTCGAATAACCTTTGCCGAGCCGGGCAGACGCAGCCTTCCTCTAGACCGCTTCTTCGGCGGCATCAACTTTTCATCTGATAACTTTTTTCACGGTCATACATGTACGAATTAAAAACTATTTACTGATATGGATACTACGATAGTTTGTTGTTTGCACATGATTCAAGATGGAACTTTCAAAGCCCTAATTAGTAAGGTGGAAGAAGATATCAAAGTGATTTGGCATCTACGAGGAAAATAGCGTATTTTTCATATATGAAAAATGATCTGGGCGCGTAAGGCATCTCGGTTGGAAATGGGCCTTTAAGCAACAGTGAAAGTCAAACCTGAAAAAATTTAGGCCCGTATGGGATTTGAGCCACTGACCTCTGCGATACTAGTGCAGCACTCTACCAATTGAGCTAACAAGCCAACTGGGAGCAGGCTGTTAAGTTGATTCATAATAAACCCGTGATGATAAATCAGATACAATGAATATATGAAGTTCATATATTTTGAACTGCCGTATTAGACACGTATGATGCATGATCCTCGCAATAGAGAGTGCTATTTATGCAATAGCGAAAAACAGACCGGAAAAAAATCAGGCCTGTATGAGATTCGAACCACTGACCTCTCGGATACTAGTGCAGCGCTTTACCAATTGAGCTAACAAGCCACCTGGGAGCAGGTCATCAAATTAATTTGACATAATCCCTTAAGATGATAATTCAAACACAACGAATAGTATGAAATTCATATATCTGAAGTGCAGTCTGAGCTCGTTGATCACGGAGTTTGCTTGTCTTGGTGGGGGAGGTCCCTTAACGGGCCATTGTCATCGAAGTGACTGATGTTTTGAAAACTTTTAGCAGAGGTCAACATAAGAGTTTGGTTAGAAGTTTGAGTTTGCTTCTTTTTTCAGACCTGTGGAATGTTTATGGAGAATGTGAGAACTTTGCAGTTCTCAAAGGTCATACTGGTGCTGTGATGGAATTACATTTTTCATTGGATGGGAGGTACATGCAATTAAGAGTTTTGTTTGTTATATCCTGTTTCTTGCTTGATAAATAATTTTTACCCCTCCTGGGAGAACTTATATGCCTGCAAAGCAACTTGTGCTCTACTGCTAATAAAGGCTTACTCACAGTCTAGCAGCACTCTTCTTCTTCTTCTTATTGCTGGTACCCTTGATTGTATTTCAGATGGTTCTTAATTTTTGTTGTTGTTGTTGTTGTTGTTGTTGTTGTCGTCATTTATAGCACCATGTTCACAGCATCAACAGACAAGACATTAGGTATTTGGGATTACGAGACAGGCTCAAGGATAAAGAAGTTGAAAGGTCACAGTTCGTTTATAAATAGTTGTTATCCGTCCAGAAGAGGACCGCAATATGTTGTCAGTGGAGCAGATGATTGTACTGTCAAGGTTTGTTTTATAATTAATTTTGAAAATATTTGGGATTACGAGACAGGCTCAAGGATAAAGAAGTTGAAAGGTCACAGTTCATTTATAAATAGTTGTTATCTGTCCAGAAGAGGAGCTCAATATGTTGTCAGTGGAGCAGATGATTGTACTGTCAAGGTTTGTTTTATAATTAATTTTGAAAATACTTTCCAGGCTCAAAACTAATGATAGCCAACTAGCCACAAACTAGTAGAAATTCCGTTTTGGCTAGCAGTTTTCGATTTCTACCTGCCAGTTTGGCTAGTAAACAAACTGAAATTGTTGTAACATCCAAGTAGTCACTTGCCACTTGGCTAGTATATTGATCAGTTAGTCTTGAGCCTTGACTTTGCTTAACAACAAGGAAGTCAAGGAAAGCTGTGATTCTTGTAGGTGTGCTGCAGTTTAGCCCTTAACTCCCAGCAGTGATTAACATGTAACTTCTCCCTATGAAATCTTTACGTTATCCAACAAACAGGTCATGAGAACACTCAAACTTGTCAATTAGAAGCTGCTATCTTGATCAAACACCAAATTCTCGTACCAAATTACCAGGAAATGTGTAGCCACACGAGGGGAGAATTGACAACTTGGTCGTGGGAGTTTAAGGGTTTAGCAATTGAATCCCAAATTGGTTTATAGTTTTGTTTTGAAAATACTTCACCTAAACAAAAAAGTAAGTCAAGTAAATTAAAGTTGTGACCCTTGCAGATATGCTGCAATTTAAGCAATCAAATTTCATCAAACTTGAATTTTTTCTTGGTTTCTTTTCCAAATTTGCTTATATTACATTTCACCGATCAGATCATGATTTTCATCCTCAGGTGAAGTGCAAATTATTTTATTTAAAATTTTAAAACAAGGAAGTGTAGCTTGAGTCTGTATTTACTTATAATGCTTTCAGGTTCAAATATATTTGATGAATAAGCTGAGAATTCCAATTTGAGTCATAAATTTGTGTCTCATGGTTGTATTTTAGTTGTGGGATACAAGAAAAAGAGGATGTGCACAAACATTTCAGAACATTTATCAAGTAAGTTTTCCTACTCTTCTAATTTAATGGATACAGTCTTTTCCTTTAATGGAATAATTACCGTTAGATCACTCCTGTGGAAATATTTTGTTTTCTTTATGTTTGATAGATACACGTGTACCTGGTCATAAATGTATGATGTACATCATTCTGTTAATTCTCAGCCATGCCTTAAACCCATGTTTAAGAATATCTTAAGTTAAAGATTACCTTGATCATCTTTTGTTTTAGGTAACTGCAGTTTCATTCAATGACACAAGTGATCAAATCCTTTCAGGAGGCATAGACAAGGAGATAAAGGTCAGTAGCCTTATCATTCTGTGAAGTAACCAAACTTATTTAATTGCTAAAACAATTCATGCCAGCCTAATGAAAAAAATATATCTCATGACTAAGATCTGTAAATAACTTAACATCAAACATACAGCTGTTATTTACAGTTACTTTTTAATTAACACTACACAACAAGATGTGTTTTACCTGTAGATAGTTGGCAAGTTCTTAGTTACAAGTTAATTAAAATGAACCTTTGTTGTAAGGTCTGGGATCTTCGGAAAAACGATGTACTTTACAAGATGTCTGGACACACGGACACAGTCACTGGCGTCAGTCTCAGTCCAGATGGTTCATTTATCCTCTCTAATGCAATGGATAACACAGGTATTATAAACTATAACAAAGCAGATAGCTTATAGAACATGGATTTTTTTTTTTTCTAGTAAGTGGAGGAATTAGCATATGGTGAACATGAAGGATGACTCAAAATATGAAACTTGTTGCACAAAAAAAAAAAACAAACAAACAAACAAATAGCATCCTTGCAGGTTAATCATACCCTGTTGTCTTCCCAAACTTGATTCTACTTATAAATCTGAACATGGAATTCTGTAGTTAGTTAACATGAATCAGTTTTGGTACACTTAACTGACCACAAACCTTCACCAGACTCTGATGATTTACCTCCGCTCTGGTTGTTGAAACACCAGTCACTGTTACTAAGGACAGTTCTTCTCAGGACTGCTCTCACCTAGACAATCAGACTACCTGGACACATCTCTTTCTTTGTATTTTCAGTCTCAATTCCTTAGGAATGCTTAGTAGTTTGTTTAGAAAAAAAAAAAAACAAACTTTGTCTGGTGAAGTTCATTAGCTGGCCTAAGTGCTTTTATGGTATACTTGAAATGTAACAAGTGATGTCTTTTGAAATTTTTTTTGGTAAACTTACATACCAATTGCAGTAATTGGTTTGAATCCAGGGGGTAACATTTGAAAGTGTAGTGTGATCATCTGGGTGAGTGTTAAGTCCTGAGAAGGACTATTGTCGGTGGTAGTGACTGACATTTCAACAACCTGCGCGGAAGTCATCATCAGTCATACCAATTGTGTACATTTACGTCATTTATGTATTTCATCTTTTTCACAGTTCGTATGTGGGATATTCGTCCATTTGCTCCTTTGGAAAGATGTCTGAAAGTTTTCACTGGAGCCCAGCATAACTTTGAAAAGGTAACTTTAGGAACTACAGTATTGTCAGCATTGAAAAGAAATTACTAAATAAGTCAAAGGTGTCGTACTTGAGTCATTAGATATGTTAGGCTGGGTGCCCTGTCAAATACTTACGCCTCGTATGTTGGTTGTACATGATATATGCAGACATTTTGCAAGTTGCATAGTATTCAAGCAATGATCAAAAGTCAGCTCTTAGTGGGTGCTAAACCATCAAATGAGGAGGTTTATTATTCCATAATTATTCACTTTTTAAGTATTTTGGCCTCTAGTTTCAAAATGCATTCTTCTGCATTTTACAAGAACTTTTATGAATCCCTTAAAGTCTATGCGAAAGGAGAAAACAACATGATTGAAACTGAGTAGGAGACATACTTAATAACAAACAAATGTTCTGTAAGTGCTTTTATGGTATACTTGAAATGTAACAAGTGATGTCTTTTGAAATTTTTTTTGGTAAACTTACATACCAATTGCAGTAATTGGTTTGAATCCAGGGGGTAACATTTGAAAGTGTAGTGTGATCATCTGGGTGAGTGTTAAGTCCTGAGAAGGACTATTGTCGGTGGTAGTGACTGACATTTCCACAACCTGGGCGGAAGTCATCATCAGTCATACCAATTGTGTACATTTATGTCATTTATGTATTTCGTCTTTTTCACAGTTCGTATGTGGGATATTCGTCCATTTGCTCCTCTGGAAAGATGTCTGAAAGTTTTCACTGGAGCCCAGCATAACTTTGAAAAGGTAACTTTAGGAACTACAGTATTGTCAGCATTGAAAAGAAATTACCAAATAAGTCAAAGGTGTCGTACTTGAGTCATTAGATATGTTAGGCTGGGTGCCCTGTCAAATACTTACGCCTCGTATGTTGGTTGTACATGATATATGCAGACATTTTGCAAGTTGCATAGTATTCAAGCAATGATCAAAAGTCAGCTCTTAGTGGGTGCTAAACCATCAAATGAGGAGGTTTATTATTCCATAATTATTCACTTTTTAAGTATTTTGGCCTCTAGTTTCAAAATGCATTCTTCTGCATTTTACAAGAACTTTTATGAATCCCTTAAAGTCTATGCGAAAGGAGAAAACAACATGATTGAAACTGAGTAGGAGACATACTTAATAACAAACAAATGTTCTGTCTCATGTAAAGTTTGGCACTTAGAATTGAACAAGTGGAAGTTTTCATCACCTATTGTGGCCATTTTTTATGCTCTGCTTTCTGTCTCAAGTGACTAATTTCAGGCATTTTTTCATATTTTTTTTGTTTTAGAATTTGATTAGGTGTTCTTGGTCTCCAGATGGGCTAATGATATCTTCTGGATCAGCTGATAGGTATTGTACTATACATACTTATTTTCAGTAAAATTAAAATTTTTTTCTGTAGTACATGTAACATAAACGTGTTTTCTAAGTATTCAGGTTTGCTTTTAAGCCTTTGACATCGTTGTGGCATGTAAGATACCCTGTCAGCAGCGGAACTTTCCACCATTTCCTCACAAGTTGGTGTGCCTGACATAGAATTGATCATTTGTTTGATTTCACTGTATTTATTCTTTTAGGTTTGTTTATGTCTGGGATACAAATTCTAGAAGAATTCTCTACAAACTGCCAGGACATGATGGATCAGTGAATGATGTTGACTTCCATCCTAATGAACTAATCTGTGAGTACACACTTCATATTTGATTTCATCATTGATCAACACAGTGTTCTTTTTTTTTTTCTTTTTTTTCACAAGAAGCATATAACCAAGCTTCTTTATTGACTTCACCCTTCAACTCTCAGAAGTGAAACATGTATCTCCTCCCTATAATATCCATACATGATCCAGCAAACAGGTAATGAGAACACTCAAACTTATCAGGTAGAAGTTGCTACCTTGATTGAACACCAAATTCTCATAACCAATTGACAAGGAAATGTGTAGCAGCTAGAGGGGAGGATATATAAACAATCAGATCTTGGGAGTTAAAGGGGTTAACATGTTTATTCTCCCTATACTGTACTATCCATTTATTATATGGCTGTGTCTCACAAGGACTGGGAACTACTGAATTCACAAATTTGATTGGCTGAAATCAATATTGAAAGCGGTCTAGATTTTCCCATCTAGACCGGCATCTAGGAAAGAAAGGTACAAAGAATATAAAAAGAATGGTATGTAAGACACAGCCATATAATAAACATCTTCTTAACCGAGCTAGATCGGTCTGTATGGGAGAATCTTGACCTTGGTCACCGGTACAGACCTCACTGCGTTAGGTCTGCACAGGCGACCTCGGTCAAGATTCTCCCATACAGACCTCCTGCACGGTTAATAAGAACTAAATAACGACTTGCAAACGGGTCACAAGATTACTCAAACTTATCAGGTAGAAGATATCTTGATTGAACAGTAAATTCTCCAAACTAATCTACAAGGAAATTGTGTGTAGCAGCCAGAGGGGGGAGAATTGCGTGTAACAATCAGATCTTGGGTGTTATAGCATTAATAGGGATTTCCAGAGCAACCACTATAAAAATGTCATTTTGACCACTGTGATTTTTGGAGTATTGGGTTAATGTTAGGCACAGTAGCTGATTTTTAGCTCAATATCACCTTCCCTTGATATATTAGCCTGCAAGCAGGTTCTCATTAGTGGGTGCAGCCTGAGCAGTCAAGCCCACAAGATTAAGGGGAGCAAGAGTTTTAGAAGGTCCAACCCTGAAATTTCATTTTGATGGGTGTTGTTGCTGATTTTCGGTACCAGTGAGAGCCTGCTGGTAGGTCACTGCCGTCCCTTTATGCTCCTTGTCAAGAACAGTGCTACTTTGAAAAAAAGAGTTCATCTTTACTGAAGCTCAACCCTTTAATCAGAGGTCAATACTACTACGAGTCATGTTTTCAAGAAAAGTTATGAGTAAAGAAGTAATTTGACCTTACAGATTTGCCTCTTAAGGTAGCATGTGAAAAAGTAATTTTCTTTTATATTCCAGTGATGTCGTGTGGAAGTGACAAGAAGATATATCTTGGAGAATTGCAAGCGTAATATACCTCTGCATTGCTCATTGTCTCCTAGTCATCAAAGTCCAAATCTTCAGTAACATTCTTGATAACACAACACACAACAAAAAAAAACATGCTGTAGATGTTTATTCTCATTCATGGTTGTCAAGAACATGGCATCTTTCTAGACATTTGGCGAAAAATTAGATACTACCATTAATCATTAGTGGATATTACAGTTTTAATTTATATCTGTTGCAAGAGACTGGCAGACTTTCAGAGGTCGCTTTCACATAAACTCTGAAAGTTAATAGTTATCAGTGAATTCTAACTTTTGTTACTTTCAAAATTTTGAAACATGTATTCTTAACCTCATTATATGCTTCTAGTTTAAAGTGTATGCAACACATGTGAAAGTATTTCAAAAGACCTTTTAATACTTGTAAACTAAGACGTTGGAGTTTCGATGTGTAAATGTAAAGGCCTAGCTTACGAAAAAGGCTTTTTCCTTCAATCTTCAGAATGTAAATAAACAAAGAAACTTTTCTTAACATGCTTTTTGGTTGAGCACACTACTGTTCAGTGGGAATATATTTAAGTTCAATGGGAAAATAAATATAAAGCACCCAACTAGAGCATTCAAAAACACAGTCAAATACCAGTAATGTGTTTCTTATAGTTTTTTGGTCAGGTTTGAAAAAATAATATTATGTTAAGGTCTTTGATTGTCTGCAAAAATTTATTTCAAAAAGAATTGTATAGTTTCAAAATAAATTCGGAAGTCAATCTTCTTGGGATTAATCTAGAAGTTTTAAATGTGTACATTTAGACTAACTACTTCTATGAGTGTCTTGCAAAGAGTGATCAACTTGTTTATGCACTTATATTCCACTGTCAATACATTATCTTATTAGACATTTGTTTGTGTAGTATCGCTGAGTATTTATAAGAGTTGTGTCGTATTTTGACTTGCCCTATGGACTCATCAAAAGACAAACAGCTTGTAAAAATACTCAGCGATACTGCATAACAAAACATCTAACATAGATTTAGCCAAGCCTAAAAGTGGAGCTCCCAAGTTTGCAATATTAATGTTAACAAAGTCATAAAAGAAATGTGCATTTGCCAAGACTTGCCTGAGACACCCCTCCCTTTGTTTTGATAGTCTCCCCTACCCTACCGTGCAATCTGAAGGCACGTAAGTACGTATGCTCGGTCAGTCACATGACAACCAAACAAAAAAGGTTGACCATATTCCATGGGTATGGGGCTTCACATGCGTGTGAGCCCTGCTAATAAGAGATTCCTTATCCAACACGCCAAACTGTTTTTTCAGTGCAGGCGAATTTCGCGGATATTTCTGGAGTACAAATATCATGTGATATTCGTACTTGTCTCGCACATTATTTGTATTCTACAAAGCCCAATTGGATAATGAATAATGATATCTGTTGATTAGAATATAATATAGCCTAGAAACAGTAGGGTGTTGTTTCAGCACAACACTAAATCCAGTAATTTTAATTACAGTGGTTTTGCATTTTGTTATTAAAACATCAAAATGCAAAACCACTGGAATAATTAAGAATTTGTCACTTCTTGGAAGTTAAAGATTGAGGATTCTGTACAGTATGTTGATATGACTTCAACCATCACACTTTGCCCTTTTTAAGTTCTTGTTAACAAGAGGTCTCGACAAAGTTGCCATGAATCAGAGGAGGCCATCAGTAGAGCTCAAGTGGTACCAGTAATAAATCTGTTTGGATTTGAACCAGCTGTATGAGTTGTCAAACACCAGTGTGTACTCTCCTACATCAGTTACTAGTACCTGAAAAATTGAACCATAAAAGACCTATGATCCCAATCTAAAAGTTATCATTTACAAGTTAACCCCAGTTATCAGGAAAAAAAACCTAAATTACATTTGAGAAACTGCTAATTTCCTTCCAAATGTCCTGAGTGTGTTTTCTTGTGAAACAGAGAAGTAGCCGCTACATCAAAAGTCACTACAGGGTGTTATCCAGATCCCCTCAGTTACATATTATCTCTTCCATTAGAATTGTATTGTGAAAGAAAGTGACCATTGAGCAGAGTACTGTGGGTTGCCCATGACCACTGTGAATTTGGCATCTTCGCAATGTAGCATCTGGCCTGCAATTATCTCATATTTCCTTCAATAGGTGCCTAGGCACTTGGTTAAAATTTTGGCTAAAATATGGGACACTTATTTGAATGAGGGCACTTGAACGAGGGAGGGTTATTAACCTGTACTGATTCCGTTGTAGTTGAAGCTTAAAAAGTTAAAAATTGAGGAGTTATAGAAACAGGTTTTCTTTGTATCCCTACTATTTAAAAAAGTGAGGAGGAGGGGGGAGAGAGAGAGCACTCATTTGAGGGGACAGGGGGGACACTTGTTTGATGTTATGGCATAGGGGATGAGTGTTCATCTGGGGAAGAGCATTTATTGGAGTGCAGGCGCTTATTCAGACAAGGAAATACCCTATCTCTACCTGAACCCTTCTCCCTTTAACTCCCATGAGTGACCAAGACAGAATTTCTCCTTACAATATCAAGGAGACAAGTGATGAGTATACATACAATACATATACACAATCTTTATTTAAACACGATGATTTTTCAAGCTATAAAGCTTGTGGGGTCATGTGTTTAAGAATTAAGCTATGTAAACATATACATAATTTTTAAATGTTACATGGATGCAATGATCAATATTATACAAAATTATGTTGTCTACATCTTCTAGCAGATGCAGATGTACATTTGAACTTAAGGTCTTTAAAATAATCTTCAGATTGAACTGACTCGCTTCTTGAGAAGGAAGGGATATAGTGATATTTTCCTAATATAGGAAAATATCACTAAAGGATTTTTGAGTTGATCCACCTCAAAATTCTCCAAAGTAACATATAAAGAACTGCATAACAGACAGTAAGGAGATTTGCTATGGAGATCATGGGAGAGAAAGGATTACACCATAAGAACATCAACCTACTTGACCATTTACTGGAGTAACATGTGAGCTAAATCTTTTGCTTTTACTCCATTCTCTGCCTGCTGGTAAACCTGATATGTAGCAACTATAAAATAAAAAGAATAAAAAAACATGCTCATGTCATGTGATGACATATTAATGGAAAGCATTATAATTTCATTAACTTTTACTTGAGATCAAAACAACATAATTAGAACCATGTAGAAATTTTTAGGACTTCATCTTTGTTTTGGGAAATCCAGCATAAAAATTTGCCATCTCCTGAAATTTTATCATTATAATGAGGTTCAAGTAACTCAAAACTCTCTCTTTCTGACTGCATACTCCCTTTTATCAAATACTGCTGGTTAAAACCATAATCAAAACTTTTTCTATTTCCTTTTCAATGACATGCAAATGCAGAAGTTGACACAGTGCAAGTTTTTCCAATGCGATCAATGCTTTTGCAAGAGCTTAAAATCATGAAAAGTATGGGAGTCAAGCCTTAAGATTTCTCCATGTTACTTGCAACCTATGTTTGATTTTTTCAATTTTTTGACTTATTTTAAGTAATTTTCATCAGAAGGCACAGATGAAAACAGTCCAAGCTTGATTTACAGATATTAACTTTGTGAAGACTGCAACAGCTGTGGGATCACTTACCCTATATCATAGTGATTTGAACAAAACCCAAATGTGATCCTTGTGGGAGTTTGCGCAACTTTTATGTGAACAGTGTGAGTCTGGCCATGAGGTATTATAACTCCTTGGACTTCGGCTTAAACAAAAGAGAGTGAAAAATATTCAATGACACTAATTTAAAGCTATTCTTTTTCAAAGTAACAAATAAACACTTGGTCTAGTAAATAAATTTAAACGAGAATACTTCTTCCAAGCTCTTACAAAAACTATAAAAATGAAATATGCAGTATTCTAAAATTAATGATAAGGGGAAAATTATCATAAAACAGATCTGAAAAAAAAAAAAAAACCAACACAGTCACTTAATTTTTACATCATTCTTTTAAAAGAGGTGAAAAATAAGTTAAATTTATAAAATTTACCTCCATGTCTTTCATGATGAGACATTCTCTCTCTAGCTCTTAATGTTCCCTAAACAAAAGTTTAAATTTAGTCACTTGGTTGGCCATAGTAATAATATGATCAATAGCTGAGATATATCAGATTGATTCTGACGGAAACCCACCAAAGACTCACAGACAATCCATGATATAATTAAATAAAATTGAGTTACAAACCACTACTAATATCCATAAAACATATGATCTGACTAATTGATGCTCCTAATTATTAAGTAGTAAATGTTAAAGACCTCGATGATCTTTCTTATCCGCGACACATTCAATGCTTGCTGCCAAGCAAACATGTTAACTGCCCACTTTGGGATCCAGCCTTTAGGGTCAGCTTGAATAACATAAATTACCTGTTTAAAAAATAAATAAGATTGGATGTCATAATTATATACTGTCTCTGAAAGACATTAGGGCAAGGTGAGGCATGTTACTACTTTGATCAGGACTCCAGAAAAAAGCTAAAACTAGCCTGAGTCTGAATGTCTGAGATCACTGCATTATCCTCTATGATAACAGGAACAAAAGTGGGTTGGAAACTTGACCAAGTCTTAGGAGACCCTGGGTGGGTAGGGGAAGGGGGTGGATGTCACTTACAATGAACTGCCTGACCCACCCAGGGAGAGTAAGTTAGAGTAAGGGAACATTTCTAATAGCTACAGAAAACTGGTGATCGAGTTGGTTTAAAACATATCTGCTGTTGCTTGTAACCTTTCAGTTAAAAAAAATTGAATGATTCATTGATTAATTTTGACCAGAATTTGACTATAAACTTGAAAACAATACTCACATCCATATATCCTGGGTCATCAGCACAATGTTTAAAAACATAACCAGTGCTCAGGATTTCTGCTCGCACTAGTTTGTAATTCTCCAAAGTGGGACATTCGGGTCTAGCAATTGAAGATCCCTGTCAAGTTTGAGAAATACTGGATTATCAACTGAAAATCCATAATTATTGATAGCAGAATTCTTATGATTATAATTAAACATCAGCTCCTTGGGTGCTGCTAGTGATTTAATAAGAAGTCTTATACACGTGGGGATACACTGCTAATGAAAACCAGCTTTTATTAATTAAATTAAATTTAAAAATCCCTGATATATCAGCTGAATCTTTCATTTACAAGGAGTAGTAACTTGCAGGTTTTGTAAATAACATTTTGTATATATCATTATTCAATTAATATTACCACTCCAAATCCAAGTTCATTTCCAGCCTCATCAATGATTATGTCTCCATATTCCAGCCAGCAGACATCTCTGAACCAAACAGGCCCAGGTGACCCCATCACTGCCCACTTCATGGAGAAGAAAGGAACCTCAGGGGCTCTGTAATTAGCAGGAAACTGATGCAACACTAAACCATCTTGAAAATGAGCATCTGAAGGAAAATGAAGAAAAAAAAACAAGGGGTTTCATTCAGACTACACATATTAATTATCATAATTCACAATTCTTACAGATCCAAGTAAGATCCAGCTTATGGAAACGAAAAAAAAATCTGCAATCATGTTATCTCCAGTGATTCAGGCCAAAATTGCTTTTTGTTCTGACATGACTGAACCTTGCAGCATACAGCTGGACACTAATTTTCATTTTTGGGAGGCAGAAACAGAAAATTTCTCTAAAAAGCAGGCAGATTTATTTCAGTGAAAAACAGTGAAACGGTAACAAGACAAACTTGGAAAAAACACCAACAACCTCAAAAACTGCAAGTCAAAAACTTCAAACTTAAACTTGCCCACGTGAAAATTGTACACATAATAATATTTTAATAGGAATTAGTTTCCAAGGTTACAAAATTTCAAAGTGCACATGCGCTAACTGTACAACACACAATTTCTGTAGTCACTGTCACGCAAGTTTGGTAATTAATGATCTTTTTAACAGTCATGTACAAGCTTTCCACATAGGGCCAACTGAAGCTTAGCCTTTTGCAGAGCTCAGGTGAACATGCAGCCAGGAAATTTAGCTTCACTGGAATCAATAGCAGGGGTGTCCTTAAAGTTTTCTGATAAATTCATCTTAATTTAGTGCTCAGGAGTTATTTTCTTCCCTTTTACAAAATAATATCACCCCAACCTATCATGTGGAAGAGACGTCGGAACTTCTCTGTAGTATCTGATATCATAAGGGCTCTGGCTTCATCCTTTGACGCTTTAACTCTGGTGACGCCACGGATCAGATGAAGCTGTTATTATCATTGAGAAAGAATTAAAGCTAATTAATTTCGTTAATTTTGTTACAGTCAATTGATACTAACAAGAAATGATAAGGATCATGATGGAGATGACAATGAAAACATCAACAATGACGATGATGATGGTGATAATAAAAAAAGAGGGTGGACCTATACTTATCATATCTTATGACTGAGAAGTTTTTGAAGAGCATGACTCAAGACTTAAAAATTTAAAAAGTTTATGCCTCATTGTTATTTCAGCTTTCACCCTTAGACCCCTTTAAGAGCGACCGGCATCTAATTTCTCCACACAGTATCACCTGCAAATCTAACAATAAGGTCACAAGAATAAATGAAATGATCACCTAGGTACTACAAAAGCTCTTGATTGTTCAACAAATTCTCCTTATCAGCATTTTAGGAAATGTATAGAGAAGAGTACGGAGAATATGCATACTGATGTTCTCCACAGTACCTGACTACCTGGCCGTGTTCCTTGGTAGACATCAACATCATTCTTGGTGCAGATATACTCAAAACCCTATTAAGAATGATAATGAACATTAGAACAACCTGTCAAGACTCAAAACAAAGATGCAAAATGTATTCAAGTATTAAATGATTCTGATAATGACAGTTTACCTCATTGGAAGTGGATGCATCCAAAAGACCCTTGACCCAAGACTGTGCTAGTTTAGTGTAGTGTGCTATCTCTTTATCTGTTAAAGGTGCTATTTCTCCAAAGAAATTGTCGGGGACTGGATACTAAAAAGTCAAACAAAATTAAGAAAATACTAATTATTGCTAATTTCATCCAGTCATTATATATGTATTTAGTATAATTTCAGAGCTGAGCAAAGAGTTCCCAGCAATCTGATTGGTCGAGCGGTTCCTTATATGACGCTATATAAACCACTCCGCGCGGTTTATATAAAATGTTAAAATAAAATGTTAATAAATGTTACTAAAATGTTATGATTTTAGAAATTTCTTTGTTGTTCAGCTCTGCAATTATACCAAAACAATTATTCGCCTCAGGTTTGGTGAATATTGTCGAATCATTCCCTCGACTTTGTCTCGGGGATTATTCGCCGATATTCACCTCGCCTTCGGCGAATAATTGTTAACTTATGAAATATTATGGACCATAGAATTAGTGTTGACTTAATTTCTTAATTTTTTTTCTCTATTCATGTTCTTTCCAAATCAAATTCAGTATATAAATAATGTCATTAGTAGCTACAATTTGAAAAATACAATCAAATGGAGAATGTAAATAAAATATTTTTGGTCATCGACAGTAGGGAATAAAAATTACAAAATGTTTGAGCAAACAAAAAAATGTACAGATCACAAAGAAAATGAAAATTCGCATCTCTCAATAGAGCACAACAAAGCATTAAAATGTGAAAACAGTGAACAGTCCACCCCTTGTAAGTTTGAAGTGTTGTCATACCATTAAACCCCAGAAAAACTGGGACCTGACATATATCCTGGAATTATTGCTGCAAATTGAGAACACTAAAAAATGAAATAAATACAGTTCAACAAGGTAAGGAGTAAGTATGGATTATTGACAAACCGTGAACTTTTTCTTTGTATGATTGCCTTCTTGTCCATGCTCGGCTCTGAAAACCAAAGTTAAGGGATAATGTTCTGATGAAGACAAGTACTCCAAGGTTCCACCAAGGTTCAAACCAAAACTGGAAACAAGCTGATCATTGAGCATGTGTAAGAAGCAACCGCCTAAAAAATAATTAGGTTAAAAAAAAAAAACAATAAACTGCATGATTGAAACATTGAAAGAGGTTTAGCTTGTGGCTAATTAAAGCACTGGACTATGGAAGAAAAGGTTCAGGTTTGACCAACCCCTACGTTGTTGTCAAACATTCTTGGAAAAATACTCTTTCTCCAACTAACACTATAACTAGGTACCAACTAAACTTCCAGGGAAATTTTATGAATCACAACTTACAATAATTAATTAAAAACAGAATTACACCAGGGGAATCCCCTCTCACATCGGCAAAACTGCTAAGCACAGATCCACCAGTGACTGACGTTTCAACGACTTATGTAGAACCAGTCAACATCTCAATCAAGTCTGACCTCACTGAGACGATTATCTAAAGGATCATGCAATTAATTAAAAACAAACGAGATACGTAACTTGAACCTGCCGTGCAAAAGCGACTTATTACAACAAGCTTAAATATTTGACCAAAGAGGCCCAGTATAGCTTACAAGTGCTGCTGAATATTAGAACGCTTTCTTAAGAATATAGCCGTTACTTCACTTGACTAAAATAAAATCCTCAATTTTTTTCTGAAAAATTACATATTACGATCAGATGGAAACCGAAACGGAACAGTCACTTTTGGCAAAAATTTATATTTGAATCAGTTAAACCTCAAATAGACAAAACATGTAACAATTATAGCTTTGCTGATGGGAAATAACAATTTTTGTCAAAATAAAAGTCGCAAAAGTCAAATACCTGGGATCTCGTCCACCTTGCTCTTGCTGGGAACGTAAACAATATGGCCGTCTCTTTCTTCCAATGAAAAATCCATTTCCTCTTTCTTTATGAGGTATTTTTGGAACTCTTTCATCTTGAATGTTTTGCCCGATCCCTGTAAATATTTTTTGGACTCTTTTTTCTTCATCATGTTGCCTCAATAACCAAAAATTTTGCCATGATTGTCGTCGACCCGGGATGAATTGCTATGTTGTCACGCGGGTGGAGATGGAGTACGTGACAACCACAGCTAGAGTGGTGTAGTGGTGTGGGTGTGCGTCGAGGGCGGTGGGGACGGGGGTTGATGGGTTAACTAGCCGAGATCTAAGAATTAACCGCAAGCAAACACAACAAAACCAATGCAATGATTTGTGAGGCAACTGCCACCTATACCTAATTCCTTTTTTAGGCTTGCTCATATCGTTCATTCTTTTTCACCGACCGTCAGCTTTATATTTATTAGGCCAATGGATATAAAGGCCGAAGCTTACGAAACCTGGTCAACGAGTGATGATAATTATCTTTTGAAACAGACTTATTTTGTTCAGCAAGTAAAAAAAATATTCATTGGAAGTGTGGATTTCATTAAACGATCATTTCTCTTGTAAAAAGGAAGTGGAAACAACTTAAAATTAATGATAACATAAAATTCGCACCTCACATTTGTCTATGCCTCCGTAGCTCAGGGGTTAGAGCACTGGTCTTGTAAACCAGGGGTCGAGAGTTCAAATCTCTCCGGGGGCTACCTAATCCTGGGGTTTTTTTTTTATTATTATTTCTCTTTGTACCATTGTTTCACCCGAGATGCGAGTCCTTTTATTCCCAAACCGAAAAGCAATTACTTTTCGCAGTTGAAACTGTCCTCTCCATTCTTTCGCCTTCCACAACCCAGGAAAACGAAGTAAATTCGAAGTAAATTCAAAGGATCATTCTTTACGTGTTCTCCCTTCCCAACTCACATGTACAACTTGATTCTTAAATAACAGGCCTTTCTTTATTCAAATCGACACATCAGGACTATTTAAAAACGGAAATGAATTTATTGATTACTTGAAATCATTTTAAGACATACCATGTCGTTACTTATGATTAAAAAACTGACCACTAAATTGCATGTAACTTCTGATGTAAATGAGTGGGATTTTTAATGCTTCTAAAAAGGGAATTAGAGCTTTCAACTAAAATAAACAGAACATCAACTGCACGCCCTGATAATTTTCGTTTACATATAAACATTAAAACTTCTAAAACAAAGAATATCTTTTGACCAAAGCTAAAAAAATTATGCTTATATTTATAACAATTCGCAAACTAGGCTGTTTTTAACTTTCTTTCTGTTATATGTATGTGTAGCAAACCGTCGCTTAAGAGGAATGCTGTTAAACTAACCTGGAAAACAATTTCCTGTTATTTTCTTAAAGTTAAACCATTGGTAAAAGCTATGTGTGTCTTAGCTTTTACTAAATGTGTACTTCATGTAATTGCTATCACAGAAAAATTAACAAACACACTAAAAATGAAGGCCTTTCACAATATAAGAAGTACTGAGTACTGAGGCTGATTAAGTTTACAAATCTAATAACCACACTAATGCAGCTTTGGAAAGAACTTTATATAACTGTTGGATCATAGTTACTCTAGGTAGCCTCAGTTGATATCTCCAATAATATAATGACCAACAAGTCGATCAGTAAGTTGCTTGGTACCTGCATGTGTTCAATGATCAGACACAGTTGGCCAATAGCAATGACAGACACCTTGGTGACTATGATTTCTCTACGACCACCCAGCTGTGGGCCAATATATCTAAGAAGGCTACCTATAGCACAAGTGACCATTCTTCGATACAGACGTATGTGGGGATAAAAATCGAATCATGTAAGATAAACAGCAAAGGAACAAACTTTCAATAAAAAATATGCCATTAATATACATATAGATATTTACAAAACACACAAAAACTCTTCTAATACATTTACAGATAAAAACCCAAAAACAGTGGGAAAAGATTCCACTTCTATCTTAGTCACTTATATTTTTTACAAACATCATCAAGATCATCACCTGTGATGTGCATATTGAATGTACTCATCATAAGGCAACAATAAGGAGGCCAAAGCCCTCGTCTTCCTTTACTGCTCGGCAGGAAGAAAACATTGACCAGGAGATAAATATGTTTGAGGGTGAAAGGGAAATTTTTGAGCAAACCAAAATTAGAGCAATTAGATTTACCTGCCAGAGCAAAAAGGAAATATGAGGCCTCAAAGTTAGCACATGGAAAATGGCCTTGATATTGTGAAAGGACTCCGGTAAACAAGCAGTGGAAGGTTTTTTAGAAGATGACATCAGTTCCTGGACTGAAAGCAGAGCATAATAGAACACATCTAAATCAATAAGACCCTGAGTTACTTTTGATATAAAGTGCTTACCCTCAATCTGATGGACATCATGCAGTGGTACTTCAAATGGAGAAAAGGTCAAACTGCCAAATATTGTAAGTGGCCTTTAGCTAATATGGCAAAATGTAATCCAGCCATTATAGGTACAATTTTCTCCAAAAAACCTCTATGGAGCAAACAACATTGAGTACAATCTCTGCATGTCAAAATCCTGAACAATCTCAAAAATCAACTGTCTCATAATTATCTTAAAAAGAAAAAAAGGCCATTGTATGTACTGAGATTGAATAGATAGTGTCTAACAGTAGAAACATCTAAAATGTGACAGAAGCTTTTAACACACTGAATCAAATTTATGTCCTTTAGAGATTGATATGTCCCCAAATGGTTTCTTCTGATGAACATCGATGCTGGATTCTTTGCTGAGCAGCAAACAACTGTAAAATTTGTATGCGACTTGTTTCCTATTGCCTTTATGCACCAAGCTGCCAAAGCTAACAGTGTCCTTTTTGTTGAACTCTCTCTTCAGAGTATGAAGCAGCTGTTGTGTACGTTTTGTCCATCGTCGGTTTTCAAACTGTTCACTTGTCTCAGAGCTTTGCTGCTCTTCGTTTGTTTGGGAAGCTGCCAATTCCTGTTCTAGTTCATTATCTTCCAGCTCATCCCTGTTTGGATAAATGTCCTCCACACCTCCAGCTAAGAATTGCTCCTCCTCTTCCACTGGCCATTCAAAATTCTGGTCAAGAGTAGCACCGATCGGTTCATCAGGCAGCACTGTGTCATTAGCCTCCGTGTTGGCAAAAGAAACTGAAGATCGCTTACTGGCTTCATAAATTCCTGACACCTCTTCTCCTTCTCTTGCCACTTCTGGTTCATCAATGTCCATTTTTTCTTCTGATTCAGCTGTATCAGACTCACCATTAACATCCTTTGTTAGATTTTGCACAAATGCCTCCACTACTGGCAATGCAAAGAATTCTGTGCCAGACTGAGCAAACAGCTTTTCAACAGTTGAAAAAATTTTCAACTTCATCCTGCATTTTGTTGGAGGAGCAAGTGTGGCTGATCTGACAATATCAGATGTGTCTGACAGTTGAGACTTGATTGCTTCGGTAGCCAACAGTTTTTCATCATCGACTATTAGCTTCCTCTTTCTGCGACTACGCTTTTCTTTTTGAACAACTTCCACAGGTTCAAGTACGAAGGCCTCTGACTCATTGTGTAACAGCGTTGTTTCATTCGCAGTCTCATTTATAACACCTGTTTGAATAACAGCAAGCAATCAGACAATCAAGCAATCACTTTTTTGGGGGGTGGGGGAAGGAGAGCAGAGGAGAATTTAGGGATTTTCTGTTTGAGTCAAGTCTCTCTTTTCTTTTAGGTTTCTTTGTGACACTTCATGTTGAACTAGCTTTAAAAGCTCTGCATCATTGTACTGTACATGCTAATAAATATAAAGTAAGTTTGTTGACTCAGTTTTCTTCTGATTAGTTCTAACAACTTGATGCTTAAGGAATCCTGTAGTTCTTACATGTATTTCTACTCTGTGAGAGAAACTCTACGGGCAAACATCAGTGACAAAGAACCAACCAAATGTAAAAACAAAAGGAGGAACTTCTAACCAAAACTTGTTACACTTAAGTATTCCTTAAGGTTAGCCCTGGTAGAATTTTACAACTGTGCAAGTCAACTGTTGACATTCTAAATTGTGTAACAGATATAAAATCACAAGGTAGGATAAACAGTCTGGCAACAAGCTTGATTAGTAAAAACATATTGACTCAAAGTACAGGGGCTCTTTAGATAAAGAAGCTCCACCTTAAAAATCAAAATTACCTTCTTCTTGTCCAGTTCCAGCACTGGAACTTTCCTTCTGTTCTTCTGAGTCTAACTTGGTATCCACAGGTTCTAGAGTAACATCTGCAGCTGCCAAGGTAGTTGGCAAGTCATCAAATCCAGGAACAAGAGCATCACCACCAAATTCATCTCCAAATCCATCCGCCAGAAAATCCACACCCTCTCCACCAAATCCATCATCCTTGATTGGTTCATCAAGTGCTATATCTAAGGACAACACCAGAATATGATGAGTTTTTGCTTGCACTAACCATAACTTCATTTATTTATGAATTCCTCATAAAGATATTTATATGCACACTGTACAGGGTTCTTGCCAAGTCTTCTTGCAGGTAAATGACCTAAAATAGCAGGTCACTTTGTGAATGACCTCCTCTCCCCTCTAAAGGGTGTGGGAGCCACAGAGAATCATGGGTGTCTCTAATGCAGAATAAACACTATGTAGCCTTGCATGTAAAATAACACTAAGCACTTCTTTTTTTCAGCAACAGTATCTAATTTCTGGTAACTATTATTCAAGGTTGCTCTAAGACACATCAGTCTTTGTTTTTGACAGGAACCAGTGCCAAGCTCTGCCACCTATTCATTGCAGGTGTGACCTGGAAAAAGTTCAGCCTAGTGCATTTTTGTCCAAGAGAACTTGACTACAGTGTACACCATACTAAAATATCATAAATTAAACTAACACACAATACCTATCCTGCTCCTTTCTAAAGTTGAGTCCATGATTGCTTTTGGTTCATCAATAGTACTCAGTTTAGAGATGTCATTTGTCTTGTTGAGGGGTTCCTCAATGGACGCCTCATGTCTAAACATCTCAGTCTCGAGCTCCCCTTCGAACATTATGTCTCCAAAACCATCATCTCCAATAAAGTTGTTGGTGATTATGTCCTCCTTCATCGTGATCTCCTCAATTCTTCCCTGATTTAGAGTGAACTGAGCATGAATTTCCACCTCACTGCAAGAGCAAAAAAAATAAGAAGATGCAGTAACATTTCATACCATTCTTTTAAAATTCAAGGACTTTTACCCTTTACACCCTAATATCGGCATCTATATTCTCCATGTCCTCTCTATACTTTTCTTTTGGTACTAATAGGGAGAATTTGTTTAATAATCAAAGCTTTGAGAGTGGTGATTATTTCCTTTAATCTCAGGATCTACATGAATGATTCAACTGTATTACTGTAATAAGAAATTAGGGTTTAAAGACTACGGGGCAAATGAACAAATCTTATTATTATTAAAGACAAAACCAACGTCAAGTTTGCCACAACAATTGAAGCAAGAGGCCTTGTTAATTAAAAAATGACTCATTTTGATATTTTTACCATGCAATTGGGAGATAAGCTCAGAAATAACACCTATAGACAACTCTCAAGATTTTCACATCAGAAACATGATTCCAAGTTATTCAAATTCCTCCAAAGATGAACTCATTTTCAACACTAAATATGAGAAACAGTCAAGAATAAAATAATGATAAAAAGAAAAACAATCAGCTTACTTTAGTTCAGGAAGCGTCATATCAAGGTCAGTAAAAACTTCTGGCATAGTGACTGCAGCAAAAGCCAGCTCTCTTCCCTCTTCAGGCAAATCTACCACTCCTGGACGGAAAGCCATCTTGATCTTTACAAATGCTTCTGTGCAGTCAGCCAAGAGATATTTTGTTTTCCTGGAGTATATTCTGACAACACCTAGGAGGAGATGGCCAGATGTTCTTAAAGCAAGCTTGACTTTGGGTGAAATGATACTCTCAACTGATGAGGGGAGATCTGTTTCAGAGACCAGTGCTTTGCTGAGCTTTCGCTCCCAGTGAGCAGCAAGCCATACTCTGGCCAGTGGGGCCTTTTTGGCCAAGATGAATTGATGGTAAAACATGGTGCTGGCAGAGCTGAAGAGACTATATAATGTGCTCCGTCTGCAAGAAAAGAACAAATGATAACTTTTTTAGATCTCTTACAGTAATTTCATTTCCATATGAATTTTAATTTTTACAAATGGCTGAAATCTTTGCTCTTCCTTTATCACCTTGCTTTCTTGCTTTAAAAATTGTTTGAAACAAATAGCCATTCAAACAAGTAACTCGCTGAACTTGCCCAGTTTCATGCTAATTCTTCAAAACCTTACCAATATGTCAACTTCCATTTATCATTTAGCCAACTTTTGACCTAATGCCTTCGCGAGAAAATACAAACTTTAAATAAGAAATGAACTACCTAAAAATATTATGAAGTAACAAAGAAATGCTCTGCATAACAGCTCCATATTTGAATAAAAAAATAGCTCAGGTCATTGAGATTAAACCAAAGAATTCTACATCTTCATAACCAAAGACTTCTCCGATGTCTGATGTATTATATACAACTAAAAATAAAATACCCTGATGTCAAGTTATTCACCTTGTTACTTTTATAATCCAAACTGTACTGCTGAATGTTTCAAATTTTTCTTATCTCACCCTGCTCTCAAACAAATGTGTAATTTTTTAAACAGTTATCTCATCTATTCTTGTCAAAAGGTCCATTGCAGAGTTGTCAGATTGTTTGAAATAGGAGAGTTTCTTGTTCTATTGCTTCAGAATTTCAGAAATATCTGCACCAAGAACCCAGCCATAAACATCCACTACATGTTAATTTTTGTCTTAGTTTCCCCTGAAGCCCCCCCTATAATTTTTCATTCAATCATAAGTTCAGTTCCCAAAAGGGTATCATGTTTCATTGTCCTCAAAAATGGTTTCACATAATTCAAGAATAGGTGTTCAGGTTTTTTCATTCAGCAAAAATAGTTGTAAAAGGGGATCCTGTCTGAAGGCCACATGCCTCCAAAAATAGCCTTGATCCATTAAACAAAAAAAATAGTTTAATTTTTTAATCTTGTGGTCATAGAAAACTATAACTTGTAGGTTTTATCAATTTCAGTCAATGGCCCCAGTTATTTAGATGTGAAGCACTCAGGTTATGACCAATAAATGTTGACAAAAAAACTGCCAAAAATAGCAAGCACTTCTTAAATATCTGCATGCTATCCAAAACTACCCATGTTCAAACCTGTACATCCATGATCAAGAAACCGAAATTTGTTCGACCAGCCTCTGTTAACAGCAGTATCTGATCAACGGGAATTGACTTCAAACTGGAATCCAACAAAAACCATCCCCGTAGAAGATCCATCATTTTGTTTAAAATGTTTATTATTTAACTATTGCCAAAACTTTCATCAACCGTCATTTGTCACACAAACAAACCATCAAATTCACCCTTGAAATGACTACTGCAACCTGTTTTATTTGTAATTTGAATTATCTGTAGACTATGAGGTGAACTCGCAGCGATTCCCTTGCAGAAATTAGGAAAAGACAGTTATTCGAGGCCGAAAAAACAAAAGTTTGAAAGAACCACTCCAGATTAATTTTTGAAGGCTCAACTGATGAGTAATAGTAAAAATAAAACGCAACGCGTGAGTGGTAAATTTCAATTTCGGTCACGATAACCAGGTTAACGTTTTTTTGGCTAACGGAGTCGTTTCGACTTAACGGTTGACGAAGCATCTGTCCTGGCAACAAAAAGCAGTTACATATGTTTTTAACCACAGAAATATCGATTTAGCCGAGAATTGTTGCTTAAAATGCACCAAAACTGGTATCTCGAGGCAAATTAGTGACATGTTGCAAATGTCGCTAAGTCGGCTGGACAAAAACCTTGCACCTTGTGTTTGCAATCTAGCTTCTCTGCGACATTTCAACCCATCAGAACACCATAAAACATGACACAAACCAGAAAAGAAGCTTAAGACTATAAAAACTGAGCAAAGTTTTAAATTTTGAATGATTCACGAAGCGAGGAAAACGACGCCAAGCGAACTCGACTGGTATTGTGTTACTTTGTTGTAAGCGGATGGAAGGTTGTCACTGAGAAAAGCAGTAAGAACGGAACTTTACGTCTAATAAACATACCAAAAAATACTTAAGGCATTATTCCTTAACACTTACCAGTTTCAGGTCGAAATAAGCATTAAAAAGAACCATAAAATACGTTTTGTTCTTCCTTATTATAATTCAATATGGCAGCCAAGATTCGAACGTTCAACGAATTCCCGCCGAAATTTGCACATCACGTGATTTTTGACACGGCTACCAAGGACCTCCAGCCGTCGCCTTGGTGACTGTTAGCACTGAACTCTTCCCGCCAACATTGGTCAGGCCTCCCCACATGGAACAACTTAGTGAATTTCCACTTACATTTTCAAAATTTTCAAAATTAACCGGGTCCTATTCATGATGGTACCATTGGAAATATCATCCAAAAGTGTTATGAATTGCACTAATGATTTTGTAACATGGCAACCAGTTTAGGCCCCGACTGTGAAAAAGGTGCCTATCTGATAAAGAAAAGGATATCTAAAGAACCACAGGTCCCATTCGCCTATAAATTATATCAAAAGAAACTACAATGATAACTCTATGTTGTAAACCTCAAAAAGCAGACTGTAGATGTATTTTTCAGAAAGCCAACAATTTATTTCTGAAAAGAACGCTATTTTGGCCCTTCTCACTACCAAAAAATTGAAATGAGATTGATGCATTTTCACAAAGATGCTTTTTTTTTTTGATTCACAACACAACACAAATACAAGAGAAAAGTCACTTGAACTTGAACTTGAACTTGAACTTTATTTTTATTTAGACACGGTAAATCTATCAGATAAAATAATAATATTATTACAATCTATTATTACAATTACAATCTACTTTAATCTATGTAAACATGATCTAAAATTTAAAAGTGAAATAGAAAAAATATGCTCCAATGCCCGATGCGATTTTCTTGGCTATTTTTTCAATGTACATATTCCATGAAAGGTTTTCGTCTATATGCACACCCAGAGATTTAACTGAGCTAACTTTTTTAACTATGTCACCACCTATGATTAGTTTAGGGGAAGTATCGTAGGTACCTATCCTTTGCCGCGATCCAATTAACATGAATTCAGTTTTGGATGAATTTAGAGTCAATTTGTTTGCAGTGAGCCATGTGTTAACATTGGATAGGTCGTGATTCATAACATCATTGATCATTACTATGTTGTTACTGGCAAAGGTCAGGTGAGTATCGTCGGCATACATACGTGCAACTGAATTAGACAGGCAATTAGGAAGATCATTTATGTATAGAACAAAAATTTCAATTCAATTGCACAAAAAGAAGCAAAGATATCCTTTTTGACATGTTAGCTATTTAAGGACCCGATCACCCAAACCTGTTTCGATAAGTGTTCATTTCCGTCTCGAAACAATTGACCAAAACGATTCTCAGTCAACAACAACAACAAAATTCTCAACTTGCAGAAATATCGTTTGACGGATAAAAAAAAGTTTTCTCGATCTGTTAAAAGAATTTCTGGATCATCGAAAATATTTCTCGAAAGACGAAATTATTTCTCCGCCACCAAAACATTTCTCGACCACATTTGTCCAGTATGGCTGTCCATAACCCTTGGTAGGGTTTCCATCTTTCTCCGAACTGTTAGAACTACTTCGTCTCCATTTGAAGACATACATACATTGAGGTCCTAATATTTGTTTTATGTTTGTTTTTGTTTTCGTTTTTCTCAGAAAACCAGTCTGCCCAGGCTACCAAAAAAAAAAAGGGAATCAGTGTGCCAAGGAAGAAGAGACGCTGCATGATCTGACCATACACCATATACCTTCGTCTATCGTCGGGAATGCTTCGCCTTCCGACCGTGCCTCATTCGGAACGGTTCGCTGATCGACATTATCAGAGTTTCAGCGCATGCAGTCGTCACACAAATCGTCAACCAACATGATCGGGACGCGATGCGAGTCGCGTCGATTAAGAACTGATTGATATATTGTGCTGTTTTTAGTGAACTTAACTGCTAAAGGTTAATTAATCTTAAGACTGTGAAGAGAAAACTGCAGAATGTCTCCTTTAATGAATAGCGAAGTAGCCATGTGCATTGCTACTTGGCAGAAATTATGCCAGTTTGCACAAATTATGCCAAAAAATTATGCTAGCATAATCTATAAAGGCCTACGTGCCGCACCCTAAAAATTGGGGCAGTGAAAAAAGTCCTAAAAGTTGGGGCAGTGAAAAAAATTATTTCAAGGGCTGTGTAAAATCGCTCTTACAAAATATGCAGTTCTGTTTCACACAATCACATATCCTTTCATCAGGGCCGCACTTGGTAAAGTAATTCATTCAGAACATTTTTGGGACTATAGTTTTCCTTTCCCCTCACCCTGCCATGTTTCAAACCGTTCCCATTATTTTTTATGCCACTCTGAAATTAATCAAAAGGTTTCGAAACATTTCCATCGCTCCCCGTTGTTTCAGTCTCGTAACTGAGGTCAGATACATTGTGCTCGAAAATTAAAACTGGAGCAATGGTCTCTGGACTGTCACCACTAAAAAAAATCATAACGCTATTATATTTTTTACTTTACGTTTGGAACCCTGAGTATGGTTCAGCTGCGCCAAAAGTTACGCCGGCATTATTGATCTCACCCTATTACCCATCTATCGCGCGGCTTCCTGCAACATAGATTCAGCAGTTTTATATCTAGCTGTACTGATTATTTTGGTTTTGATTAATGACGCCACATAGTAAAGACAAAAATTACTGATCATATTTAACTAGGAGAAATTAGAATATGCTCCAGTCTTCAAGCGTTGAACGTTCCAGACTCGACCACTCCTCCCTCCTTAAAAACAACAACCTTGTCGCAGTGTCGGATGGTGTTCAGACGGTGAGCTACAGTTATTACTGTAGAGTCCTTCAGCTTCTCTCGCACCACTCTCCAGATTGTCTCTTCTGTGCCTGGATCCACGTGTGCTGTGGGTTCATCCAAGATGATGATCTTGTTCTGCTGCAACAGAACACGAGCCAAACAAATCAACTGCCGTTCTCCTACGCTGACATTTGCTCCATTTTCCAACAACTCGTACTCCAATTGTCCCTCAAGACTTTGCACGAAATCTTTCAGCTGCACATCCTCTAAAACTCGCCATAGATCCGCATCTTGGAAGCGCTGCACAATATCCAGGTTTTTCCTCAACGAACCACTGAAAAGCACCGGAGTTTGACCAAGGGAGGATATACATCGTCGAGCTACTTGGAGATTAATATCCTTTATCCTAATTCCATCCACCAGGATCTCTCCATCAGGGTCTGGCATGCGCAGTAAAGCCGACACAAAAGACGATTTTCCGGCGCCCGTGCGTCCCACAACACCAATCTTTGAGCCTCCTTTGATGTTAAGATTGATACTTTTCAGTGCTGGAGGACC